AAAAAAAAAAAAAAAAAAAAAAAAAAAAAAAAAAAAACTGAAATAAAAAAAAAATTAAATAAAACAAATCCTTACCATCTGTATGAATTCTTTTAAGACAAACAGAATCCTGTGGTGGTCGCGCTGTGTGAAATATTGCCTCCTGCAGTGAGCCTTGGCACTTATATTAAATGTTCATTGTTGACACTCGAATGACGAGTAGCCCGCTACGTTTCAGCACTCAGATTATCTAAATAAGTGCGACAAATTTTATATTTAAAGTCCGAAAGTGGAAATTAAAACTAACAACGCTAGCTACTGCATCAGGATCAAGAGTTTGACTTAGACTGCTGGAATAACTACGCAAATACGAAAAAAATGTTTACGCTTCAACCTACGCCTGCATCTATTGGAACAGTGCCTTGGTCAACAGGATCACTGATAGAACGACTGCCTGCTCTGGATGATATGAACCATAAGGGTATGTTGGTTAAAACTTTTGCCTGACCTTGAATAAAAAGAAAATCTCATATTTTGGTTTATTTCTAAGAACTTTTATTTAGTTTGCGACGATGACTGTTTTTCAAACTTGTAATAAAATTCATTATCAGACATTTGTGTGTATATTTAAGTTCATATGTGTTTACATAATTACGATGTAAAATAACATAACTACGATAATAAAAATGAACAGCAAACAACAGTCAATAAAGTTGTTGAAATGTATGTAAGTTATTTGAGGTTCTGGAACACAAGAACACCATGAATTTCTTGAAGTGCTCTCCCTAAATTTAGACTTTATAGGTATTCATAAATATCCATAACAGAAATATGTTTTATCAAATAACTTTGTTTTTAGTTTGTCTTACCATAAAAAGGGGAAATCAGAGTATAGGTTTTCTTAATATCATGACGACGATGAGCTGACTCAATCTGATACTCTTCGTCTGTCTGTCTGTCCATATCTAAAAACTTCAATATATCATGTAGATCATATGTTGAAAATATGAAACTTCAAATAATAGTTGTTAAAAACAGCGTTTGCTTTTCTGTAAGAACAAGTAAGAGTGCTCTAGTCGAAGCTGCTCGACTAGAAGATCCACTGAACTCTGCAAAGAGTATATGGCATACACAAATTTATACACATTAAAATGCGATCACATGCACGCAAAGCAGCAGTTTAGACAATATTATTTGAACTGATTTGTTCTATAGTGGAGCTATCTTCATCAGAACGTGATAATAGCATTAAAAGATTGATTTAAAATTTAAGATAATGCGAGTTTCGGTAAGCATATTAAAATACCTCTCGGCTTAGAAGTATTTGGAAATATTGCTTCCAGAAATAAAGAAAAATATAAGATCAAGTATTCAATTGTTATAATATTGTCCATTTAAGTAGTGTCTTTTGTGCAAGCCTGACAGCTGCTGTGATTATTGTTCATTTGCTTTGCTCTTTTTTTCTTATAGACAATGCTCTTGCTATGAGAAATCTGCCCTGTTTGGGCGTGGCTAGTGGCAACGGACTGGCCGGTATTGGCGGAAAGGCTGCTGCAACAGCTGCGACGGAAGCTGCGGATGCAACTGCAGCACCACAGCCACCTCATTCAACATCATCGTACTTTACCACAACCTACTATCACTTAACAGATGATGAATGTATGTTTTTAGTACCATCTAAAATTTTTCAATCAACTTTAATTTGTAACTCATATTTGTTAATAGCAGACGCAAACTGAAGCTTAATCAAAATGTTGTTAAAAATAAGAATGACATTAATGAAATTAGGCCATCTGCTAAAACAATTTCTTCCTTCAATTTAAATTTTACCATTTCGAAAATGGCTTCTCACAGATTATACTCTAAGTAACTAGCCTGATCATCAACTGACAATAGTCTGAAGTTTGATATCATTATCGGATTATCCGACCACTCTATTTGTATTATGAACTATGTAGCTTTTAAATCGTCTTATTATACCCTGAACCCATTGAAAATGGGAAATCAGGATATAATGTTTTTGTGTAAA